ATTATAGTGAGGCATTAATGCATGTCATGGACTCCATGGTTTTTATTTTGAAGGTGATATGTCTTTTTTTTTTTCCAATTTAAAATACTTTCTTATGTCTCAGCTTATACAGAGACAACTTAAGGTTGGTTATTTCCCCAAAAAGTTTTAACACTGTTGATCTGTTGCAAAATTGACTCGGATATCTTAAATTGCCGATATAGGGGAGTGTTGGAAAAACCTGTTTGAAAACAGTTTTGCAGTTCTTTTCGGTGACACTAATTGTGCAAAAGTTAGATGATGCCTGTTAAGATGAGAATTGAACCTGCTTTTTGTCTTTTCTCTGATGTTGAAATAAATAAGCTGCTTTGTATAGAAGCCCATTTCTGCCATGGAATAAAAAAAAGTAATTGCAACTTTTTCTCTCACAATTTTTATATCTCATAATTTTGCATTTCTTTCACAATTCTGAGAAAAGAAGTCAGAATTGCAAGACATAAACTCACAATTCTTAGAAGAAAAAGAAAATCTGAATTACGAGAGAGAATTCTAACTTTTTTTTCCTCTCAATTCTGAGTTTATATTTTACAATTCTGACTGTTTTCTCAGAATTCTGACTTTACATCTCACAATTCTGTTTTTTTTTCCATCATGGAATAAAAATAAAAAAGGTTATTGCGAGTTTTTCTCACAATTCTGACTTTTTCTCATAATTGGAAGTATATATCTTACAATTCCAACTTTTCTTCTCAGAATTTCAAGTTTATATCTTGCAATTCACAATTCTAATTCTATTTTTATTCTCAGAATTGTGAGGAAAAAAGTCAGAATTGTGAAATAAAACATTGTAATTGCCTTTATTTTTTTTATCCCATTCCAGAAACAAGAAAAAAAAAGACACCCTAGAAATAATGAATCTCTGATCCTTTTTTATTGCTCATCAAGGAAATTGTGTGACATTCTGGAAGTACTTACAGTTCTTTGTGCGAAATCCCTCAATCAGTGTCCTGGCTGAAGACAGACACTTTGTTCTTCAGTAGTTGATCTGGGAGGGTCCCACTCATGGTTGATGTGATTTGAATCAATTCTTTGTCTCACCTATTTTCATTTCCTCACTGATGAATGTCGGAGTGAATGTCGGCAAAATAACAATTTGAGGTTTTTTTTTCCCCGTCATTGTGAGGCTTAATTGCTGAGGGGGTTTGTCGTAGCAGGTAATAATTTGTATGCAGTGGGCGAGCTCTCCCAACCGCTTTTGTTGTCTTTGTGAAGCCTGCTCACTCTAGTCTGCACAAATCGTCTGCTCTACTCAAAAACTGTGTTTACATACTTTTTCACGATACATTTTTTTTGTATAAACACAGACATCCATATGGCTCTCAACTGCGCCCTAATTCCTCTTCAGAAGCTGATCTATTCACATGTTTGTGGAGAGGTCTAGAGTACTTTAGGCCTTATAAAGGCCATCATCATTAAACTATTTTAATCATAAAAAAAAGATTATAACTGAAAGCAAAAAAGAATATACAGAAACTTGGGAGACATTTAATCATTCAATATACCAAAACAACATCTTCGCAAAATCAGCTACTAGAAAAGAAACTGATATTGTAGACATTAATTGGGTTAGAAAAAACACCATGGTTCATTTATTCTTCCTAATATTCATACACTGTAAAATATGGTAAAATTGTTTCCTTGAAGAGCTATTTTTTTTTTACATGATTTAACTCATTAAAATTAGTTTTCTTGGAATAAATGAATGTATTTAGGTTGATTCAGTGATGCTAAATAAGCCAGTTAATATAGATTCTACTTTTTTTTCAATAGGCTTATATTTTTGCAAGTATTGTAAATGCATTATATTTACTAGCATTTTTGCATTTCAGTATAGTCAATGTTTTAATTCAAGCACAGATGATTGACTGCACTGATGGTTCACAGGTGGCATAAAAATGTATTTTAGTACAGATTTTCTTTCCTCACTTTGTTGGTGAATTGTAAACGGAAATCCGTGTTTTGCCCTCAAATGGTCTGCTCTACTCAAAAACTGTGTTTACATACTTTTTCACGATACATTTTTTTTGTATAAACACAGACATCCATATGGCTCTCAACTGCGCCCTAATTCCTCTTCAGAAGCTGATCTATTCACATGTTTGTGGAGAGGTCTAGAGTACTTTAGGCCTTATAAAGGCCATCATCATTAAACTATTTTAATCATAAAAAAAAGATTATAACTGAAAGCAAAAAAGAATATACAGAAACTTGGGAGACATTTAATCATTCAATATACCAAAACAACATCTTCGCAAAATCAGCTACTAGAAAAGAAACTGATATTGTAGACATTAATTGGGTTAGAAAAAACACCATGGTTCATTTATTCTTCCTAATATTCATACACTGTAAAATATGGTAAAATTGTTTCCTTGAAGAGCTATTTTTTTTTACATGATTTAACTCATTAAAATTAGTTTTCTTGGAATAAATGAATGTATTTAGGTTGATTCAGTGATGCTAAATAAACCAGTTAATATAGATTCTACTTTTTTTTTCAATAGGCTTATATTTTTGCAAGTATTGTAAAAGCATTATATTTACTAGCAATTTTGCATTTCATTATAGTCAATGTTTTAATTCAAGCACAGGTGATTGACTGCACTGATGGTTCACAGGTGGCATAAAAATGTATTTTAGTACAGATTTTCTTTCCTCACTTTGTTGGTGAATTGTAAACGGAAATCCGTGTTTTGCCCTCAAATGGCTCTCACAAAATGAACAATACATGGTATGTTACTATGATTTCATCCATGAATCTGGATTGACTATGTGTAAAACATAGCTGTAGTGGATGCAGGTCTCGGAGGGTGTGACTGCAGATAGATGCTGTATTTTGGTGATACTGAACCACCTTTCTCTTGCCTTTATGAGGGTGTTGTCTCCTCAAGCGCACTTGATTAATGTGCTCTGGGCTTTAGCCAGATTCTGTTGTGCAACATAGACATGGTCTATTGACAGTATCTGAATCATGCAGATATCACGAAAGGGCTGCTTAAACTCATGTGAACTGCTTTGTATTGTGATGGTTGAAATAGAATTATATTTCTCGCCCCCATCATTTTTTTAATGCAATAAACAGCTGACTAATCCTTGAATGTGTGTGAAAGCACAGTCACGTGGAATAACACACATTTCAACATCCTTACCTGAAACACCTCAGATATTCATTACAGTTAATGAACAGGCTAAATTAACTAGCTAAAGTTTAATTCATTTATTAATTTATTGAGAATTTGTGATTTATTGCGAAATTATCTGAATGGAAAAAATTGGTGTAGAAACAATTTTCATTCAAATTGCTAGTAGATTACAAAATGAATCACAAAGAATTGGTAACATGTTGAATTAAACATGAATTTTTTTCAAACTCCAATAATAATTAGAAACATATATATTTTTACAGTAATAGTCAATTAAAAGTAATTGATCAGTAGATGATTTACTTTTAAATTTTAGTGTTTTTTTTATTTAAATCATGCATTGTAATGTACCCTTAATTCAGCTTTGCTTTCCTGTTTATTTCAGTATGTTAGAAATGTAATATATAAGCGATTGATATTGGAGAAAGAAAAAAAAGACACATAGATGTCCATATCTGTATCGCTTGTCGTTGAATAATCTCATACCCTTTTAAAAACCATGCTTTTTGGCACGTAAACAGCACTTCATTTGTAAACGTGTTTGACCTCAGAGTGATACCGTCCTTCTCAAACACAGGTCTGCAGACTTTTCAAAACAGTCTGTCCGTCTTTGTTGTTCTTTATGAAAATGTACGGCAGTCTTGCATGCGAGGTCAGAGACAGGGCAGATTAAAGATAATGTGTTATTTCTAATCCCAGATTGGCTCACTTTGAGTATACTTAATTTATCTTAAATATATCTGTGCATTCATTATGGTTTCAGTAAGAGATTTTGGTGTTGGTTGATCTAAAATGATACTTTAATGTTCATTGGCTTTTATATGTATGTTAGACTGTCATTTGTCAAGCCATTATTTACAAAGAATCTTTTGATCAGTTCTTCCTCTTAAATTATTGCCTTTAAGGCATTAATCTTTGTACATTGTGTTGACAAAACCGCTTCAAGCTTTATGCTTTTGCGGTTTGTCTCGAGACACATGATAGTTAGTTTCCTTTTTTTCTCAAACCTGCTTTACCTTTATTAAACCTGTATTTTCTGTTCAAGGCAGTGACTTTGAGGCTGGATTTAGGCATTGAATTAAAGCAGTTGACACATTTTATGATATAATGCACTATAGAGTGTATTTTCCATGGTGATGGAAATAAACAAGAACTTTAATCAGTGACAAATGCTAAAAGAAAACTCCTCAAACTAGCTAAACACACTCCATATCAAAGCATTTACAGTGGACCTAAAATGTATTTGAATACTTAAGAATGCATGAATGCCTTTGCATTAGATAACAAATATTAAACTGAATGGTTTAATAGCACTGTCATGCAAAACATTTTACAAACGGAAGATTGTTAGGTTTTAAATTATACAATAAAAACCATTTAGACACTTTCTGACTTTTTCAAATGTTAGTGAAACATCTACAGCTACTAAAAAATAACTTTAACCTCCAAATACCACTTTTTGGTTTAATATTTTTTATTATCTAAAGCAATACAATTCATAGATTTTAAGTGTGCATTACTTGTCCAAATACATTACTGTACAACATTAAAAAAGGACAGATATGACTACAAAATGAGAGAATGTCTTTTGAGTGAATTGTCTATGCTTTGGCTTAATGATCGTTATTGAAATGATAGATAGTGAACATCCTTTTTTGGCTTCATGGTCATTCTATAGTTTTTTTTATACATTCAGCATTTTTAATCCATGGAGGAATAACAGTTTTGTTTACTCTGTTCTCTTCTGCATACATGAACTTTGGCTGTATGTTTGTGTCTCCACAATCACTTTCCATATGATGCTATAACTCCAGTAAATCAGTGCATTAAACCACCACTTAAAGTGTTTCCTGAGACCCACGGCTGGAAGCAGAACATGTAAGGATAGTAAGGGAATGACTGGTATAATGGAGGAACAGACGGACTGGGCAGCTCCTCGGCGTTGTATTGCCTCTGGTCGTTTCTCACCAGTACTTTCACTGCCACTCTCTTTGCCAGTGTTGTCGTAGGAGTTAACGCGAGTTCGGCTGCCATTTGTCGGCGCTTAGTTTTGTATCTCCTGTTCTGGAACCAGATCTTCACCTGTGTCTCGGTCAGTTTGAGCGCTCCTGCCAGGTCGGCCCGCTCTGGGCCGGACAGGTACCGCTGCAGGTTAAAGCGCCGCTCCAGCTCGTATACTTGTGCGTGAGAAAACGCTGCCCGTGACCTTTTTTTGCTCGATTTGGGGTTGTTATCTTCAAAGTTGCAGCTCTGTGATTTCTGTTGGTCCATGTCTGTATAGATGGATAAAAAGAGGTTTAGGCTTTGTTTGGAAAATCACAGGCCTTTGTGTTACATACAGTAGTCCATATGAAAATTTAAATCTTAAAATAGTCGTACAATATTGAGGAGTGACTTCAGCTTCTTTACCTTGGGCTTTTTGTACTCTGTCTTAAATTTTGATATTTGTGACCTTGGACCACAAAACCAGTCTTAAGTCGCTGGGGTATATTTTTAGCAATAGCCAAAAAAACATTGCATTGGTCAAAATTATCAAGTTTTAGCCAAATATTGTCCTATCTTAACAAACCATACATCAATGGAATGCTTATTTATTCAGAAAAATTGACGCTTATGACTGGTTTTGTGGTCCAGAGTCACATATTACTTTGATATATAAACTGTGTAAATTAGTGTCAAGTGCAGAGCTATAATTTAAAACATGAATATTTTAAATGTTGTAAATGAATTTATTGTTGTAATCAAAATACTTCTTCACAATAATTATGCCATTCCTATGTAATTTTAAATACTTTAATTCATTTTCTTTTTACTTTAAACAGAAAATAAAATTGGAAACAAATCTAGAAATACATAAATCATATGGACTAACAATTAAAAGGCATAAAAAAGGTGTTAACATATATTAAAAGCTTGTGTGAATGTTATTTTATCAAATATTATTAAAAACTATTATTAAAAAAAGAACGCTGAAGATACCAGTCCTGTCATTTAATTTTCACTAACATGATTATAAATCTAATTTCTATATAAATCTAATGTTTCTCTGTGTAAAAATATTTACAGGTATTTACAAGACAAAAACCGTTTTTTGGGGTAAGAAATTATAATTTCATTTATGTCTTAGATTTGTATCATGTGTGATGTTGTGTGTAATGATATGATGTTTAATTTTGTTATATTGGACCCATAAAAAAAAAAAAGTTTATTAGCTCATATATATTTGTCACAATTGCGACTACACACATTTGTTATGTTAAAGATCAGTCTGTTTTACTTATATAATTGTTTCCAGTTGCATTTAAAATGCTTCATATACATGTGCCGTTTTTAATAAAAAAAATGTTTTAAGCTGAAATTGAGTGATGCAAATGTATTATTTTTGGGAGGGAAAACATGGATTACCACAATAAATGAATGCACAATGTCTAAAAATGTCAGCTACTGATAACAGCACTATTATTGACGTTAATTTACACGGTGTATTCATCTGTAGCAGACAAATATGGGAATATCAAAGTTTGACACACGTACAGTGCAAAAACATGGTAATAACTAAATGTTTTACAACACTACCCAATCTCCCATCTAGGCTATATATACGTGAAGTGGTCTTAATGTCTCACCGTGTCGTCTTTCGAGTGAATTGTCTTCTCCTCCTGTTGATTCTTCCTCACATGAATGCTGGTCGGAGGATGAGGAGTCCAGCACGAGCACACAGGAGGAAGAGGTGCGCTCAGCTCCAGCGGACTCCACCGGCAGAGATGAGCTTGAACAATCCAGCGCCTCTCTCTCTCCGTGAACCCGCTCATCTGCGTATTCCTCATCAAGACCGCGATTTTTCTCGCAATCAGGTCCTCGGTTTAATATGTTGTGAATGGAAAAGGAGGTGCGGTTATTCGCCATTTAAAACATAACCTACGTAACCTGCTCGATGGCCTGTAGTTTTGCGCTTTTATCTGGGAAGCTCCTGCGCTTTCATGGCGGTGAATTAGTCCACAGTATAATTGCTTTCCTCTTTGCGTGTCATTAATTGCGGCAAAACGTCTTCTGACCCAATCAACGAGCAAAGTGTCAGAACATGCCATGTGTGCATCAGTTTCCTCTCTTCCCTTTCCAGACACGGTGCCAATGGGCTTTCTGGAGCATTTCGCTCCTCCCTCTAAAATAGACGTGTAGAATTGAACACCCATCGAAATCTGTTTACTACCACATGCTCGTTCTGGTTTTGATGGGTTTGAAGACATTTTTCGATGACAAACAAGGATGTCCGAGACGATAAAAAGGGGGGGGGGAAATTGTTTTATATAGATTTAGTTTTAAACATTGCTGTGTATGTGTTATTTGTATTTGTTGTTTTTTTCATACGTTTTTTGAAAAACGCTTATAGCATTTTCTAAAAAAAATAAATAAAAAAATAAAAAAAACATGTAAAGTGCATGGTTAATAACACTAAAACATTAGCTCCTTTCATACACGCAAGTGTACACCTAATCATTATTTTTTTTTGGGAAGCTCCTGCGCTTTCATGGCGGTGAATTAGTCCACAGTATAATTGCTTTCCTCTTTGCGTGTCATTAATTGCGGCAAAACGTCTTCTGACCCAATCAACGAGCAAAGTGTCAGAACATGCCATGTGTGCATCAGTTTCCTCTCTTCCCTTTCCAGACACGGTGCCAATGGGCTTTCTGGAGCATTTCGCTCCTCCCTCTAAAATAGACGTGTAGAATTGAACACCCATCGAAATCTGTTTACTACCACATGCTCGTTCTGGTTTTGATGGGTTTGAAGACATTTTTCGATGACAAACAAGGATGTCCGAGACGATAAAAAGGGGGGGGGGAAATTGTTTTATATAGATTTAGTTTTAAACATTGCTGTGTATGTGTTATTTGTATTTGTTGTTTTTTTCATACGTTTTTTGAAAAACGCTTATAGCATTTTCTAAAAAAAAACAAAACAAAACAAAAAAAACATGTAAAGTGCATGGTTAATAACACTAAAACATTAGCTCCTTTCATACACGCAAGTGTACACCTAATCATTATTTAAAAAAAAAAAACATTCTGTTCAATATGGAAAAATCTTTAGATTAGCCTACTCCAGTCGTCACGAAAACGCGTTTTTCAATAAATATGGTCAACATATCTGACAATTTTAAGAAAAACCTAATGACCTTCCCTTACGAAAATGAACCATGTAGTAACCACGGCGTATTGATTACCATTTGTATAACCATAGTTTTACTATACAAATACCATTGTTAAACTATGGTTAGTGTAGCAAAACCATGGTAACTAACCATGTTTTTTTTGGGTTTTATTTGTAGTAAAACCATGGTTAATTTTCGTAAGGGTTGATACAGGGTCATGAAGGTCTAAATAAAGGTCGAAACCCTCTCTATATTATGATTATTTTGTCAAAGGACAGCAAAATGGCTTCCCGCATGTTGGTTACGCCACACTGACTTTGATTCGGCTGACAAATTATGTCAAACAATTTACGCCACCATTTCTTTTCTCTTTTATTCACGGAAGAGATGAAATTCTCTTTTTGTGTGTGGACTGTTCATGTAGACATTACTGAATTCAAGGGGGAAAATCACGATGTATTGCTATTAGAAGAGTTGTATAGTTGTATGATTTTTTATTTTAATTTTTTTGCATATTTGATGTGTCCTGAGCTTTATATCCGGACGGACAAACAAACAAACAATAAATATATAAATACCATTGGTGGGGTCATAATTTCAAAGGTAACGCTGACTAAAACTCTTGCGTCTAAAAAAAATATGCAATACCGTTTCACGCAGTATATATTTTATTTGTTATTATATTAACTATATGTAATGTATTAGATATGTGCTTGCATGTTGTTAATAATTTAAATTCTAAAACGCATTCATTCTTTGAAACACAAAATACGAAGTTTTTTCGTCTGGAGAACTGAAACGTTTATTTTTGAGCTTTTCCCTCGAAATGCTCTTTTGTCCAATTTAAACGTTATTGTCTGTTCACACTGATCATACGCTAGCTATCAAGCAAGCTCGATTTTTTTTAAAGCAATGGGATTTTACTTTTGCATCTTGAATTCAAGAAAGTAGTTTTTAATAATTTTGCTTTATATGCTTTTTTTTTTTTTGTAAATGCTTATTTGTAAAGCACTTATAACGTTAATTTCCATTCAAATGTCTTTTGCATAAACGCTCTTCAGCCTGCCTGTAATATTGATAACTCATACTGATGTTTTGTGAAATCTCTCTCGGTTCCAGGTTTTGATTTATACAGAATATCACACTAACTGCTTACAGCGAAGTTCCAGTGAATGTGAGTATTTCGACTGCATGACATTATGAAGTAAATCTCAGTTTGTTGTTAATGCTCAAAGCTACTGTTCTTCGTTTGTGTTTTCAAGAAATATGATTGTAGCACCTCCATGTGGCCAGCTGATGTCTGTGCGTTTGAGCAGCTAATGGCTTGAACCAGCTGGAAACTAGCAATGAATTTTCCAGCTTTCGTAAAAAGTCAACTTTTTTTATTTAAATAATTCTATGTGACAACATAATTTCATGGTATGCAGTCTGATAAAGACAGCCTTTTTATTATGATATACTGTTATGAATGAAACAGAGATCGCCAAGTGCATGGGCTTGATTTTCTGTTTTTTAAAGTTTGTAAATATTTTATGCCTACAGTGACATATTGGGCTAATTATGCCTTTAATTTGGTATATTGAGTGTTTTCACTCACCCTGTTCCAAATTACAGATTCTGATGCTCAACAAAGATATCCCGTTTTCAAGATCTTTGTATAAAATACGTGCACATACTCTGAGTTAAAAGTTCATTCTTTAAGGCAAAAAAATGACAAAAACTTGCTGCACTTGTATATATTTAGTGTAATGTTTCACATATAAGTGCTCACAAACCAAACTGGGCCAGATCTTGTGAAGTGGCTCATGTTTAAAACATTTTTAAAACAACTTTTAGCAGGATGCTTTTCTTGTGTTTGCACTTCCACCACGGTCAACCAAATAAATATTACTCTGCTGTTGTTTATGTTGAGTAAGCCATATCACCATATTGGGAGGTCTGACATGTTGTAAATGTTTTTCACTCTGAAGAAACAATCTAATTCATCAGGTCAGATGCAGCAGGAAAAAAAATCATCTTGGCGGTTACACATCAGATTCAGTGGCCGAGTTTATTTCTCTTCTGTTCAGATGTCAGAGAGGTTTCTAGTCTAAAACATATTTATATTCTATTCAACTGTATTTTATTTTGTATTTTGTATCATATTCTCAGGTCCTTGAAAAAATGGCAATCTTGTCAGGTATCTCGTCTTCATCATATATTAAAACTTTTTAATATATGATGATTAAAACGTTTTGTATGAAGAACATGCGTTTGGATGACGGATGTGACGGGACCAGCAGGGGGCGCTTTCCATCCTGAGCTCCCAGTGTAAAGGTGCTGACAGAATAAATTACATTTAGGATAACACCCAAAGCTGTAGTACTCAACCTTTGTGGATTTCTCTTAAGATATGCCATTTATCACCTTGAGATTTGTGGCAAATTTAAGGCCTGTTAATAATTCTTTGTCTGCAAATATCTTTCCTCCTTAGTAACTATGCTGTTCATTGGTTACATCATACAGTTTGTGATGTTTGAGATCAGCATAGGGTTATAAAAACGCGAAACATTCAGATGTTGTGATTTATGCTTATGCAACTGTATTCATCACACATTCTCTCTTTTCCTCTATTTTTATTACCCATGGTTTCAATAATTATCACCCCTTTAATGTCCTTTAAATTTCAGTCAGCTTATTTACTTATAATTTTCTTCTTGTTTGCCCGCTTTACAGCTTAGAAGATGAATTCACTGGCCTTATAGCTTTAACCTCATGTTCTCTAAAATAATTCTTGTGTTCCGAATCATCTTTTTTCCCCTTTCTTTATCTCTATACAGATAACCAGTCAACATAGCTATTTTCCTCCTTTGTACCTCCTTTCATTTAGGACTACTGATATTTCAGTAGTTATAATTTCAGAATTCTAAAACTATTACAATGCATTTATAATATTTTAACCAAATGTGGTCAAGCCAACAGTTTTTAGCTTAGTTATCAGAAATCTGGCCATCCAACTACTAATATTTGGCCTATGACACACTGTTTAGGGGAGCTAACCACACCCTGTCCTGATATTCGTCCAGAAATCCTCTCTATAGATTCATATCTCTTGTCCAGCACTCTCTATAGCGGCTCATCCTGAGGCATCGCCGCTCTGTCGCCATGAGTATTTACATTGAAGTGTCTGGGCCACTTACCCTGACAGCAGGTATGTCCAATGGCCTTGCAGTAGCGAGGGGAGCTGTTCATCCTTGCTATTAGTAGAGACAACTCGCCGATGATTCTGTTTACTTTTCTATTAATCTTCATTATTAGAGTAGGAGCTCTGGTGAACCCGTGAATGGGCTGAAGGATAAACGAGTTACGCCGTGCGTAATGGTCGAACATACACTTGTTTCCATCAAAGCTTTGTGTTTGTTATTACGAAATCAAAATGATGAATTATAGTCAGGAACTGAAATTCAGTAACTCCATTGGAGCACGCCATTTCTTTTATGTTTTTTTTTAATTGTAATATATATATATTTTTTTACAATTTTGTATTATTTATATTGTCATTATAGGAGCTGTCAGGTCCAAAGATGCTGAATTTAGGCCAACAATCTCCAAGGAGTTTGTTTTCACAACAAGAAAATCGCAGTGCACAAATATTTTGTTAGGTAAATAAAAATAAAAACAATAATTAATATAATTCATAAATGTATAAACGTTGCACACCTGAAAGTGATTTTCAGGATAAAGTTATTTGTTATACAAGTAAAAAAATAAACAC